GATAAGCCGTTGCAGATTATGGATCGAAAGGTCAAACGGTTATGGACCAAGGAAGTTCCACGTGTCAAAGTATTGTGGCGAAGCCAAGGGGTCTCTTACATGACACGAGAACCCAAAGAAGTTCCACGTGTCAAAGTGTTGTAATTGTTTGAACATGCGGGATTATATTATAACGAACCATTGTAGAATGTAAGGAAGGTTCTTGGTTACTCTGAGCGATCTAGAATTCGTGGACGAATTCATTTAAGGGGGGAGAATTTGTAATATCTCGAATCCCGGAAGAAATATTTAATTATTTTAAAGAATAAATAATTAAACGAAGGAATACGAATAATAAGACCGAGAGAAATATGAAATCAAAACACATTTAAAAAAAAGTCTAGAACCCAAATCGATAGGTCCAAATTCCAGATCGATAGGTCTAGACCAGAAAAGGTTCTAGACCGACCGATATAGAATCCAGTCTGAAAGGTCTAGGCTCGGTGATAGAAAAATCTGTCGTCCTTGCATTCTCGGCCACGATTTTCTCACAAGATATGAACCCCATGCGCCATCTACTCCCACTCAGGTCAAAGTGGAAGGCACCAGCCATCTCCTGGCCCCGTCCCCTGGTCCATATGCACTCATAAGCCGCTGTTTCAACCCTCCCCAAACCAGCTCTTCAACCATCCTTGGGAGAAAATCTGCAATAAAACAAAGGAAGAAAAGAGAGTGGAAGAAGACGAAAGAGGATGAAAGAAGGAAGAGGGAGCTCGTACAAACGTAGAGGGGCATCCCTTGACTGTCCAGATAGATTTCCCGACACCGAGAAACCCATAAACTTTGCTTGAACCTTTGCCAAATCAGATTTGAATCTGATCAAAGGTGAGTGGCTTGAGTTGGATTTGTATAAGCTCATTTTCACCGTGTGATTGTGTTAAAATCGATAATATGATGCATGATTTAGAAAGAAGAAGTTGAGATGAACATTTAGAAACAAATAGGATACGATTTGGTTGAAAAGTGAGTGAGAATAGATCCATTGAAGTTGGAGAAAAACCTATAAAACGCGAAATTTTGTGTTGTTCTAAATTTAGAAGCAAGACTGACCGGTCCAAACTCTAGACTGAAAGGTCTTGGCTGGAAACATAGGGAAAATGAGCTGGACCGACCGGTCCAACTATTGAACCGACAGGTCTAGCCTGAAAAGAGTAAAGAGATGATAAAATAGCCTCAAAATGACATGGAGGATGCAAGACCGGTCGGTCGAATACCTGGACCGACCGATCCAAACTGAAAAGGGTAAAGAGAGACACAAAGAACCTCGGGGCGAAATGGAGGAGCTGGACCGACCGGTCTAATACCTGGATTAACCGGTCCAAGCTGGAAAGGGTAAAGAGGGGCTCAAAGAGCCTTGGGACAAAACGAAAGAGCTGGATCGACCGATCTAGTATCCAGATCGACCGATCCAGACTTAAAAAAGTAAAGAGGAGATCAAGGAGTCTCAAGACAAAAAGGAGAAGATGGACCGACCGGTCCAGGTCAGAATACACCCATGCAGGCCGAGGAGCATGGCTGAGGGGTTTCGGACGAGACCTAAAGGTTGATCCAAACTGATTCGATGACGGACCAACATGGTCCAACAGAGAAAGAGAAAAACTTAATAACTGAGTAATGACGTATGGTAGATGTGTGACATAACAACGAGTGATTCGTTATGTGATTGTTTGGGTAGTTTGTATGGCGTTAAGCGGTGTATCGGTCGGAGACCGGGGACCACGATACGAGTCATTGTAGTGGGGATGAACATAAACGTTGTATGCTATGTTTGTAGCTCACTCGTGCGAGGCGAGTAGAGCGTGAGTCTGATTGCTTATCCCCGACGAGCCACGTGTTAGTACCGGTTGACAATCTGAGTCAGTACTAATACGCTGGGGAGGGCACATACCAGTACTAATTGACGCATGCAGGGTACTGTTTTGTGTGGGTAGTGCGATGCGTACTTAGTAACGTGAGGTGACATTACCATCACAAGAGGTGGCGAGCGCGTGAGATGCACATGCTCACGTCAGGTGATCACTACCGTCGTATGAAGTGATGAGCATGTGAGGTGCATATGGTCACATTAGGTGACCACTATCATCATGTGAGATGTGTTATGAAAGTTACGGGTTCCTAGCATGCGATCATATCGATCTAGGATTTGGTTTACTAGGTTTTATGCAGCGGAAGAAAGATCTAAACCTAGTCAAACGTCACATGCAACCAAACTTGCAAAAACCCGAAAGATCGTGTATATCACCGAGGGAATCGTTACTTACCTCGTTCTCGATGAAACTTGAAGCAAATATCGATCCGGGGCCTGTTCTTGATCACCTAGGACTGAAGTTACAGTCCTTCTACACGTATCCACACCGATGGGAAGGATTCCAAACGATTTGGAACGTATCTGCTAGGATTAGTGAAGAAAAGGGTAACTCGAAAGACCGAATCTAATCCCGAGAAGCTCAAAAACGAAAAGAATGAATCCTCTAGGGTTCTTAGATGTGTCTCTGAGTTTTAGGGCGGCCTTAATTAAGTTTGGATGAAATCCCAAACTTAAATAAGTTTAGAAAACCCTAAATCCGAATTTTAGGAAAATCCCAGATCCCAGTCTGGCGGACCAAGAGCTTGGTCCGGCGGACCAAGCTTAGTCCGAACTGTCGGACCGCCTGACCTGAAGGCTTGGTCCGACTGACCAAGTTTTGGTCAGCTCTGGACCAAGTTCCTTCTTCGTCAGCTCAGTCCGACGTGCCAGCTCCTCGGTCCGCCTGACCCAGCGTCTAGTCCGGAGCTGACCAAGTCTTGGTCAGCCGGACCAAACCTGGACAGATGACCTCGGACCGAACTTCGGACTACCTGGACGGACCAACTTGGTCCGGGGCTGACCAAACTTGGTCAGCTCCGGACAACACACTGAAAAATCATTTTCATGCTTGTTTCGGTCAAATCTCATTTCCATTCTCCGAATTCTTCACGTATAAGTCCATCCATAGTGGTGTGTGACCCTGTAGGCCCATTCTAAGTGGTAGTGACTTCGGGAACCTTTCTCGAACCACTAATCATGGTTAGCCTCTAGCAAGACGCCATGACTACCCACTTAGAATTGAGTTAGAGGTGATCTAACCAAGGCATTAACCGCTCAAGTTCTGATCCTTTGTCTCACGAAATCATATGTTGAACAAGGGCATGGTTTGAGCCACCCTTCAAGTTCAACCGCTTTCTCGAGTTGTAAAATCGACTAATAAAATAGATGCAACTTCATCTATAGCGTGGCCACACATTTTTCATAGTCCGACTTCCACGAGAGGGCCCAGCGATTTCTCTCCTGTTAAGGAGGTGACAAGTCCCATATTGCATGTCTACTATCTCCATATGATTCGTGAACGTATCTGATCAACGCCGTTATAATCATTCGGTTAAAGAGGACGTTTGACGCAGTCAAGACACGCCACTCCTCATATCAGATACTCTAGACATCTCAGGTGTGAGGATCCAAGAACGAACCGCTGTATGAGATTCAAGTCATGAATCTGTCCATGTGACAATCTCATGCGGGTCATCCAGTTACTCGTTCACAACGAGTACCCATGATTGTGATATGCATCCGATGCATCGATCACACCTCATGCTAGTCTTAATTCATCATTGTTCCCACAACGATAACTGACCAGAGAGTTTAGAATCATTCTCTAATGATTCAAGGATACTGAAATATAACAAACATGCCAATCATATAACGGGAAAAATAATGCATTCACAAATCAATGAATCAATACAAAGTCGAAATGTCATATCACGGATCATCCTAGAGCATTACAACTAACAAGATGAAAAATGCGTGAGGCGTATGTAGTACCGGTTGACAGTTTAGTCAGGAGTAAAGTCAAGGGAGGTGACGAGTAGTCGTTGGACTAGCCCTATATACGAGCGTGATTGTGTTTGATGTAATATGATTATACGTATTATTGTATATGTTGTATTCTAAAAAATTATCGTTTTCACTCCGTTCTCGATGAGAACGGGTTTACTATATTCAAGTCGGGTTACTCATTAAGCAGTTGTGTTTAGTCCTTGTGGTTTTATCTATTTCAGATCACGAAGAGCACAAGTAGGGGTTTAACAATGACTCCAAGATGTAACATTATGTACGCGTTTTGTAATTGTATTGCACTCGGGACAGTGATCCTTTACTTTTACGGTTGTGTTTAAATGCTATCTCAGACATGTACTGTTTTAAAAGAATTGTTGTAAGGTTTTATTTTTTCGCTGCGTGTACTTGGTGTAAAATAGTTGTAAAGTTCTCGTAAATTTGTGGTATGCTATTTTAAATGAGTTTTTGTCCAAGTAACATATTCTGTACATGGAATACAGGTTACGGATGTCTCAAAAGCCAACAGAGTCGATCATGATAGGACGATCGATTGATCTTCTGAGGACGATCGGTAGATCGAACTCTCTGAGCCAAAACTTGTAAAAGGTTAGATGATGAGATCGTGCGATCGTCAAGGCGACAATCACTCGATTGAGCTATCGGACCAAACAGACACATCTTTAGTGGACACGATCGATCGATCGTTATGGCATGATCGACCGTTCGTCGACTCATAGAAAAATGTCCAAAGTCCATCTTCTGACTTCTCGCTCTTCCCTCCATGCCTTAGCTCCTCCGCGACCATGCGTCTAAACATCGCTTGCATCCTCATGCTCCTTGATCCGGTCATCCATCCATCAATCTTCAAGTCCTTCTCCACGATTGTCTCATGTACATCTCCTGCTCCTTCGATATCCGTTTTGCTGCCCTCATCATGATCTCTAGTCATTCAAATTTTAATCATGTTCATCTAATGATAGCTTTTGTATTGAATACAAGTGTTCAACAACTTGGAATATGGATGCATATAGCTTGATGGAAAAAAAAAGTTTAGGTGATGTATTCGAAGATTATGATGAGCAAATCATATATCTTTTGAAACTAGCATTAAGACTTGCACGACATTACTGCCTTTATTCAAAGAAAAAGGTCATAGGAAATTACACACATTGCTCAGAAGAACAAAATGTAACAACTTTGATTTGTTTTTACTAGCATCTTATGTAGATTTTATTGGTTCGATCTAGCTCTTTAGTCCAACCGTTTTTTTTCCGAAAGTTTCGAGGGGACCCCTCCATCGTAAGATATCTTCTCTTGTTGTTCTTCTTACCGGAACGGTGTTTTCTGGGCATTCTCCATATTTGTGCCATAGTTGAGTTACAATGCCCTCTGATTGTTTATAACTGGTTGAAGGGAGATCTTTGGGGAAAGAACTCGGTTTCATCTATTTGGAATCGTTCCCGTAGAAACCAAACAACAAAATAATGTGAGAAAAAATAACAAATCGATACTTTAAAAGAAGAATATGAGCCAAAAACAAAATATTTAAAAGGAGACCAGCAAAACAGGGACATACCTGAATAGTGTGGTTCTTTAGTAATGGATTATCAAAAGCGAGTTGATTATATATATCAACACAATCTATTATATCTCCATCCGGAATCTGTTCGATACATAAATTCGAAAATTGAAACAACAGCAACATAACATAACTAAAAACGTGAATAACTTATATATGGATGTATACTATTTATTTACCTTGATTGATTTAACAGCAGGTTTGTTGATTTGTTTCAAGTACCTTTCTATCTCATCCTCATTCAGTGTGGAGAAAGCTGTGGTTATCATCAACATCGTGATCACCAGAATCAGTGATAAATTGGCCTTTCGATTAACCATGAAGACTTGAGAAGTTCGAGTTCTAAGTCTGAAAATAATGTCATTGACTTTGAACTAAACGACAGAGCTAATGTATATTCATTTCTGCAGTTATCTTGGCAAGATTCAGAGAAAGAACAGTTCAAGAAGAACAGGTCTGAACTGTACAACGTGTCGTTTGGATTCAGATTGATATTATATTATTTGACTTCTTGATTTTTTTAATTAAATGATTTGATTTTTCGCAGAAGTGGGTGTTTGTTTGCTCTTCATGGAGGGGATAAGCCACAGGATGACGGACGAGGAGGCGTCTTCTCTGAAAACATCAAAAGGAGATCAAGAGACGTCAACGAAATACCAAGTGAGTGTAGAAACTCCTATTTATAATATTTTTTTATAAATTAAAAAAAAAAACAAAATACAGAACTTTAAAAGCTGTATATTAATTTAAGCATTGAACTGATCTAACATCTGCAGTTGATTACTTGAATAACAAGTTGTCTTTTGCAGATATTTTTAACGTGACTGCACAAACTTGGTTTTATGATTTTTTTTTTTTTGGTTTTAGAATGTTATTATGCAATATTAATTTCTTATAATAAACTATGATAAAGATTTCCTATACAGGCCTTTTCCCTGCATTTGATTCGAATGTGTGAAGCAGGAATTATGCGGTTCCAGTTCTGTTCACATTATTTGGTTGATTACAAACCATGTCACTTGTTTAATCTATCCATGTCACTTCAAGTAGTAGTACCTGTTGCCGTTGCCAGATTTGCCTCTTGTGGAAGAGGAATAAGATTCTGAACCGAAGAGATGAAAGTAAGCTTTGGTTTATCGATGGATTTCTGTGACTTTGATCATTGTTATAGAAACTGAGTTCTAGTTATTTCATTCGGTTCAAATTCAATATAAAAATCGAACCAATTTTAATTTTTTAAATAAAATAAATAACTAAAAAATCATAAATTTCTTTAAAAATTGACTATTTATCAATAAAAACTGATTTAGAAATCCAAATAAAATCGAACCGAATTTTATATAAAAAACCGATTGATTATAAATCTTATATAATCGAATATAACCGAATCGAAATCCAAAACGGTGGACTGATCATATCTCGTTGATGTGTCAATAACTATGGATGTTCAGTGCATGAAAGACAATTTCGCTCAAATCAAACATGAAAGAAGAGTATATAAGCATTCATTAGCTGAGTCTTCTTGTGCTGAGAATCCTCATGGTTTCTTCATTAGGAATCGAAAGGGGGTTTTGGGATACTTAGATCTGCTATAATAGTCTTAGGAGGCGTGCCAAAACCCTAGGGGTTGAGCCCTATTTATTTGGTTCCTTAAAAACCCTAATTTAAGTGGGAAAAGGAAATCTGTCAAAAGTGGAACCGGTCTGGTTCCATATGGTACCGTCTGATTCCATTTTGTCAGAACTTTTCCTTGGCCTTTTGATTTCGTTCTGACAACCGTTTGCCAGACCAAAACTGATTTCTCCTTTTCGATACTCTACACATATGTTCGTCCTTGTGTGTGAACCTGTAAGCTCATCTGGAATAGTAGTAAAATACGGAATCTCTATTTCGGTGATTGATGTCGCAAATCTAGATGTATAAATTTGGTCAAGTCATAATATCCTAGATTTAACAAATACCGCAAGTGTACGATTCAGTTGTAGTATTAGGGTCGAACACAGGGACAAAAGTAGACAAATGAATTGAATCCAAATCTAAGTCTAAATCCAAAGAAAATGATGTAGGAATGAGAGGGTAGCAAAGCAAACGATAAAACGGTTTTAAAACTATAAATGATGAACACTACAGGCTTCGGTATTGCTTTACATGCAATGATCTTTCAAAAGATGCAAACTTAGTGGTTTATCTATCCAATCCAGGGAATTCAAGCTCTAAGGTAGAGATTAACTCTCTCAAGTGTAATCTCACTATCTAGGTTTAATCCTACTAATCTCCCGATTCAATAGTCTAAAACTCTGGATGCATGAACGAACGCTATCATAATTCCTAGGCAAATACCCATCTCCCGATGTGATACCTGTTCTATTTATTGAATTAGTTCCAGGTTAGAATCCTATATGTCTATGTGAATTAAAACCCTAAGTTCATTCAACCAAGTGGCCAATGAGATCAAAAGCATTAAGAACAAATCAATAAACCGAATGGAATAAATAGATCCACAAACTCTGGAAATAAAAACCAAAGATCCTTACATAGCAAATCCCTAACCTACAGCTATGGGACTATTCGCTAAACATCGAGACGTCAGGGTTCATATCGATAATACGAAACATCGTAAAATAGAAAAAATGAAGAATGCTTAGTCGATTTCTCAGCTTTGTAATCTCCGTCTTCTACTCCAATCTCTTGCCTCTTGATAATCTTCCTCTTTTGTGTGCTCTAGGGTCCTTTTTCTGTCAAAAGTATGAATGAATTCGACCTTGGAGGCTAACCCTAATTATTTCTCTTTCCTTTTAGCAAATTTGGAAGATTTCCGGATTTTAAGTGACCCGATCGTGTCTGTACAAGTGACACGATCGTGTCACATCGCAGTTTTGATATGCTTCACGAATTTATTCATAACTTCTTGCTCCAACATCGGATTTTGGTGATCTTGGCATCTATGCGTAGATATCGAAGAGAGCTTTCCAATGCTGTCGCGAATGCATGATTTGGACTTATAGAGTGAAAGCTATTGGACTTGCAAGATGTGACGTTTTCTGAGCTTCTCATTTTCCCTGGAGACACTCCAAATATTCCCGTTTCGTCCATGATGTTCCGTACCTCATGTTTTCCATTCCTTTCGCTCTTTTTATGCGTGAAAACATGTTTAAACACCAAAGAACACAACCATGCAATATTGAAGCCAAATTTGCCCTAAAATGCCTACAAATATGTAAAACCGAGTGAAATACGCTAGACATCCTATATCAAAACATCATCCGAAATACATGTTATCAAACTCCACCAGACTAAACCTTTGCTCGTCCTCGAGCAAATACTCCGTGAAAAACAATCTGAAAAGAGGGCGAGACAATGACATAACTCAAAATGATAATCGAGAGCGAAACATCTATCTGACCTAGATCCCCGTGAACAATGAACAAGTCTGTTTAGTATGATCTCCCTCTCTAAATGATAATCTTTCCTAGCCATGGGATCTATACCGTTTCCTAGAACCAATCCAAGGACTTCAATCATCTATCAAGCATGTTTCTCGAACCTATTATACCATTCTACCTAATTATATCTATTCTACGCTTTCGGCATTCATTTTTTTTCTCTTTCTCTGCTCTTTTTTTTTCTTTTTCATCTAGCTAGATTTTATCTCTTTTTTTTTTCTTTTGCTAGAATCTCGGGTTCCTAGGACATTGAAGTTGAAGGGTTCCTAATCATTTTTTTCGATTTGTTTATTGGATAACCCGACCCATAATTTAGACCCGAACCATCAAATCGACGCACTCATCTCCTCGAATGATTTTTCTTGACGAGATAATGACAGCGGAGTGTCGAGATGCTCACTATCTTTTTCTACACATCAAAAAATAAAAATCATTTGATAACAAACTTTACCGATTTCAACAAATATGGGAAAGGTTCCTATGGAAACTTTTCTACTTGGCTAGACAACATTGGTCCCACGGGTTCCAACCAACGATTTCTATCCCACAAGCCATTCTAGACAATCCTAAAGGTCAAGCAATCAATTCAACAAAACATAACCACGTTCAACGGATCACAATGTTTTCAGGACGTTTCTACTCTCTCATGCCATAGATCATCATATCAATGCTCAAAACGGTTTTATGCACGTGATCTTATATGTCCTAAACACTATATGAGAACATGCACAACCCTAACAACAAACTATATGAACCTAATGCATCCTATATGCCCATGCAACTAAAATGTAAAAATAAAAGATAAAAATGCATGCAACACTACTCTATATGGATATGGTTTGGCGTTAGACGAATCCTCCCCCAGACTTGGACTGGACACCGTCCTCAGTGTCAATTCTCATCTAGTAGAGGCAACCAATAAGATAAGTCAAAAGAGAAGCAAATAAAAAGAAAAATAAAAGAATACTTAGCTCGCGATGTTCGTTCACTCACACTTAAGTTTGCTTATGTCTATCGCATAGCTAGCTTCCTTGCCTCCTGTCAACTGCATGTATCTCTCGTTTCTAGGTAGTAGATGAGACATGATCGTGTGGCGGGGATGACACGATCGGGTTAACTGCGTATGCTAGATCAACAAAGTTGTTTCCGTGCTCCAGACTTTTCTGCCGAGGGTCCTAAAACGTCGATGAAACATGCAGGTCTTGTTGATGACGGTTGTTTGAGGTTTTTGTCCAAGGTGAATTCCACTGTCTCAGCTTACCTGCTCTAACATGGATAATGGCATCCGCAGTGTTAAGAAATGGACGACCAAGAATAATAGGTACCTTAGAGTCTTCGTCTATGTCGAGAACCACGAAGTCAACCGGGATATAGAAATTCCCAACTTTCAGTGACACATCCTCAAGTATCCCAACAGGGTATTTAACGGAATGATCGGCAAGTTGAAGAGTCATTCTAGTGGGTTTTAGCTCACCCATATTCAGCTTCTTTAAGATCGATAATGGAAGAAGACTGACGCCGGCTCCTAGATCACAGAGTGCACGATCGATGGAAACGTTACCCACTTTACAAGGTATTGAGAAACTACCTGGATCGGACCTCTTAAGCGGAAGCTCGTGTTGGATCAAAGCGCTGCATTCGGCAGTAAGCGCTACGATTTCTTTCTCAACGACTCTCTTCTTGGTCAGGATGTCCTTCAGATATTTCGTATATGAGGGAATCTACAAAATAACATCGGTGAATGGCATGGTTACCTCGAGTTTCTTCAGCATCTCAACGAACTTCGCGAATTGACTGTCTTCATTGTGCTTCCTCAGGCGAGATGGAAATGGTACTGGTGGTGGCCTAGGAGGAGGAGGCACGTAAGCCGGTTCAGGTTCATCAT